AATAAGTATATTTTATATTATTATATGCTGTAATAATCGATATTTTTTTGATCTCTTTTGCGTATAATTTATTATTAATCAAAAGTACGATTTTAATAGATATGTAAATATTAATCCTTTAGTTTAGTACTTGCATAGATCATAACATTCATAACTAATAGTAATCCGTTGTAAACGCATTAATGAATATAGCTATTCCGTATTAAATATGTCACAAATTTAATTTAATTGTTCAAAATATTTTGTATATTATTAATATATTTCATATTATTATACAGTGTTCCAGTAATCGATATCCAAGCAATCACTATAGAACCAATGAACGAAGATTTGTTCTGTACTCTTTTCTTTCTTTATCATTATGTTTCATTTCTAGTGCCATAATGTTCGTTATTAGCCCCTGATTAACAAAATATCCTTGAATTCACCGTGATTGATCTGCACAATTTTCGTTCATCGTTAACGTTTATTGCGATGACTAAATGAACGTAATAAAGTGGAGAAACCCGAAGACGAACGCAGGATGACGACGTTATACTCGTGCCGGTTACAATCTGCGATGTTGTAAGACGAAAGAATTCGTTTAGAAATGTTCGTCGCCCTGGCGCGATGTGCCTCGATTCGCAAAGCGATCACGTATTCAAACCGGAGTCCTCTCAATGTCAACGCGATGAAATTTCTATCAAAGTGTCGAAACGCATTGACCTTTATTATTGTTTTTTTCTCTGACGAAAGCTGACAGAGTGAATTCTTTTCTATTAATTATTTTTCAATCTAAGCAAACAAAAATTTGGCGAAATATAATGTACATCAAGATTTTCATCGGGGTTTTTCCGCAAGAAATTATTCTATGTATCCTTTTTAAGTCACTCTAACATGAACAATTATATTGACCATTAATAACAATATACGATTATATTTTAGTTGTATAATTTCGTTAGTTAATAATAATAAAAATCACGTGAATGTAAATTATTCAGCGAAATACAATTGAATCTTTATTCTCTCAACTCGACGGGATAAAAAAAAATGTCCCTTTCTATATGAAAATCATTCGGTATCCATTTTCACTCTAATGACACATGCATAGAATAAAAATATCATTGATTGCATTATTGACAAGCGAAATTAGAAGATGCATAATATTTTCTGTTTCTCACTTACTTCTTCGTTTTACATTGTCACGTCATATGGTTACATGAAAAAATATGAAATAATAGAAGAACAAAGAGAAAGGGGAAGTATATAAGAGATTATACAAGTTCAGTATTTATCGTATTCATCTCACGTATATCAATTAGTAGAAATTACTTAAGAAATCTAATTATAACGATACCTTCGATCCGATAAGAATGTCGTGGATGATTATTATAGCTTGGATTGTCACATCTTGGTTCCGGTTCGAAAGAACATAACTCTCGACGTGCGTCTGGTAGAATTTGGTTAATTTGTAAGCAAAATGTCGTAGTCGTGACGTTATGATCCTATAAGAGATGACCTTCGGATCGTAGAAGCAGCTGTACCTTGTACCACGGGCAATCTGCTTTCCTCATAGGACGTCGAGATGGTCTCTAGACAAATGTCCCATTAGCACTTTCACCCGCGTGTATTTCCTCGAGACTATCACCGTTATTCCGGCACTTACCATCTCAAAGAATTTACTGTTGGTATATTCATTCACGGTGATCTATTTCGTTTCATACCCGGTAGACAAGAGTTTAATTCGGTAAACGGTTTTTATTGTTGCGTATTTAGTACTTTTTATAATTAAAAATAAAAGTAAAAAATTTGAATTATCTTAATGTATGATTATTAATATATTATACGGTAATTATTAATAATTAATATTCTTCATAATTATTATTATTAGATACGACGATACTCTTCAATATATACGTTTACAGATCGAGACAGAATTGTAATATTGTCTATTCATTAAATTAACTTCCTTTGTGTATCATGTTTTATTTAAACAAAAATACTGAAAGAAAGAAGAAGGAGAAAGAGAAAGAGAGAAACGTATTTACGTAGTAGAAATCGGACGATTCTTCTGACGAGCATGTCTAATTGGGATTCGACTTCTCTCGATAGCACTCGGGAGTCGGGCTACCGGCACACACCATGTGCCCCACGGAGCGATACTTTTCGGAGGTATGGCCATCGCCACGTTGCCCGAGGCCCACGAGATCCCGAGGACCCGCGTGCGTATCGGATCCCTGAGAAAGATTTCTCCAGTTCCGTTGACCCACTGACACTGAATTATCGTTTGTATGTGCGCGTGTACGTGCGTGCGCGCGCCTTATGACTGCGATTTCTTACAGTACAGGCAACGGAAAGCCATCGGCGCCTGTGTGTTTTATCTCGTATAGGGCGACAATGTCGTACATTACAACGTCGTGTTGGACAAGGTGGTCCATTATTGAGGCTATAATCAGATAATTTTGCGAAAGATGGTTTTTTTCGTGTAATAAATAAAGTGTCGATTTCGAGAACATCGATTCTGAAAAACGAAAAATTAACATCAATTTGGATTCTTTATTTTTCAATTTGGGTAAATGCCCTTGATACTTTATTCAATTATATCTTTATCTCTGTTTAAATAATTTTTAAAAATACAATGTCACATCTAGTATTTCTTCATAATCAAATTTACTCTTTATTCTTGTTAACGTTTCTTGTTAGCGTTGTTTCTCCGTACAGGAAGATATTTTAAATATGAGAAAATGGAAAAATATATAAAAAATATATAAGCGTTAATTTTCTTTAACAAGTTAAATTGGAAGTAGTCTGCAGAGAAGTCGCAAAGGCTCAGCGTTATTGAGAGTCGAGAATGTTGATTCCGGAATTGATTCTAAGATGAGAATAATGCCTCCTAACACATCCGTCTATTAATTATATTATTTTATTGCTTATTGTCTAACAAACGCTAACGTAATTGTGCATCTAAAATAACAAAGAACATCCTTTCTATTCCAATGCATCTTTCATTTTTTTTTCTCGCACTATACATTTTTCTCAGCGTAGTCCACATCTTACGATGACATCATGCGGAATCGATTCTCGTCCGCAAACCGTTTGCTTTGGAGATCGAAAGAATCGGATCTTGCGATTCTATAAATTTCGTGCTTATCCCTGATGTAAACAATACTTAAAATTAAAACAACAATTGTCGGATTATATTATTCTAGTTTTTTTTCCACGCACGGAATTATTTTTATGTTAGAAATAATGTAATATTTTGTTAAACATGTCTCAAGATTACTCAAAATTACTAGATAATATTTCTAATATATTACTCATTTAATAACGTTATCTATCTAGATGTTTCATAAACCTTTTATAAATTTTGCACACATACACATACACACACCCTTCGAAGAGAAGAAAAAGAAAAACGCTTGTGAGACACGCGAAGCGGCTACTCTCTCTCAAGCCGGCTGTACAAGCCCGCGGATACAGAAAGGAGGAAGCGCGCGTGCGAGAGCGATATTTACCTTCTTATCCTAGCGAGGAAATTCCCCTGGACGTACATAGTCTTGCCATCTGATCTTGATTAATCTCGTAGATGCCCGACGGGCAGCAAGACAACCGTACATTCGTTTATCTAATACGTACGTTATTGTTGAAAGCTAGCGATTCTCAATCATACGGACGTATCCGTATAACAATCTTTCCTCGCGATTAAAACGATTTGAAGTATACGCTCGCGTATCTATCGTTGCTTTAAGCGTTAGTGACATATAAGAGTCTTTAGAAAAGTGCCCTACGGCCAATGAGACATTCTTCAATCTTCATGTAAATGAACTTTTCCTCCGTGATCATTTATCAGAGGTATACAGCCGGTGAACCATATGGCATAAAAGATTGGACGCTTTCTCGCAAATCTGACATTATTGGACATTCTGTTAAATAGCATAATTTGCTAAATTTCATATTCAAATTTTATTTAAGATTTTATTATTCAAATTACAAATTTTTTGTAGGAAAAAATAAATTCATTTCAAGTTTTCGATAATATAGTGTACTTATTTACATACTTTTATTTTATTTTTTAGTATATTAAAAAAACATTGTGAAATATAATTTTTTTCACATTATATCATAATATAAATCGTCATTATTTAAATGCACTAATTATATATCTATAATTTATTTTTCGATTCGTGTGAAATGTAATCTATTCGAACAATTCCAAGTTATATGAAAATAAAGATCGACGCTTATTACTAATATGCAAAATCAAAACCTTGAAATGAATACCGATCAAAGCGAGTAAGCGGATTCTCGTGTCGAGAACGCGACGAATTCAATCGGCTTGTTCTTGATTTTTTTTCTCTCTTTTCCCTTCACAGAGAAAGTACATACGACTACCTGAAAGCATTTGCAATGTCGTTGTACGCTATATTTTTTCACGAATACGATGGACAATTCCGATATTTTTTTGCTCACTTTTTTTATTACTTATACCGAAATTTTCGTAATAGACAAAGATATTGTCATTATACGAAAAATTATTATTATTAATAAAAATATCTACTAATCTTATTAAAATAGTAGATATAAAATTCAAATGAATAAAGTGATTCTGTAGTATTCAATCTTATATTATTGTTTTAAATAAATAAATAGAAAACACGTTTTAATCGTGGACAATTTAAGTGGAAAAATTTAATTTAATAAAATTATTTGTTTTTAATACATTTAATAATGTTTTATGTGATAATATAAGCTGCAATCACGTCATTATTATTAATCGAAATTTACTTTAATAATATGTTTATTGTATTCTGCGAAGTGATCTAAAAGATACTTTAGTTAAAGTTTAGATGAATAAAATATCTCTAAAAGACTTTAGTAAATTCAAATGCCTTCCAGGTTCTTTGATAATATCCCCACAGAAAAATATATTTGCGCTTTACTGCATCATATAACAATCGTCCTTTTGTAAAATTATTTTAATAGAATGAAAAAGTGATGGGTCCTCTCTATTTTGGTTTCAGATGCAGCCTGGTACTGCTGTGTATATTGGTTATCGTGGTGCCAGCATTATCGTCGACAGTTAGCCAGTTCGATATTTCCGGTAAGCGCATTCAACCGTACAAAAAAAGAGCATTACGTCTTGCGTTAATACATTACTCATTCATCTCGCGCGCAACTCTTAGTGAGGTGACGCTAACATCCCGCGGCCTGATTTCGCCACGAACTCGCGCGTCGCCGCAATCCGTTTTCAATCCGCGCCCGCAGCATCCTCGCGGAAATTATTTCGCGTTCTTGAAAGAAGAAACTTAACACGCTTAAAAGTATCGTTCACTCGAACGGGACGACATTGCATTTGTCAAGGGAATTTAAGCCGGACGTTCTATAACACCGAGAATGATTTATGCTGACGTATGGAGATAATGATAATTATAGTCAATGTACGCACGTAGAAAAATGTGCAATCTATTGGACGGATATATCCAACCGGACGATTAATAAAATCCGACTAATGTCTGTTTTGCAAAAAAGATACGTAAGATCGGCATTTTAAAGAGTATAATAACTTTTACAGATCAAAGTTCAGTTTGAAAATTTGGACAAAGACTTAGAAGAGACGTGCGTATTAAACGCTTCTTTGCATACTTTTTTATCCTTCCTAATGTAAAAAAAGTATTAAAAACATTTTTTTTATTGACAACATGTAAAGTGAAGAAATGATGTTTAAAATATTTGCGGAATGTGATATGGAATAAAATAATATGCTTTACTTTACATATTACGAGTATTAGTCACTTGAATAAAAAAAATAGGAAGAAAACCATGACCATTCCGGCGCGATTAACGAATTTTTTTATATTTGCATAAATGTGTAATTGACCAATGTCAACCTTTATAACCGCTGGTTCCATCACCTTTGGACGTTGAATAATTTGCAAGAAAACACGCGCCAACTAACCTCGCAATTCTCAGAAATCCTTTAGCGTTTTTCAGGATGTATCCGTCAAATTGGTCGTGTACAAAAGACCACAATTACGTGATTGACGAAGTAGTAAGCGTATAATTCTCTTATCGGCTCTTAATCGAACATGATAATCTTCATGTAGCTTCATTAAAAAAAAAAAACATTTATCGAGATGTATATAGCGTGTATTGTTCTCTCACTTTCCATCTATCTACCTCTTTCTTTTTCTCTGTCTTTGTATAAAATTAAAATTAAAATATATAAGAATAAAATACTTTGTAAAAATTTACTTATATAGACGCGTGTAGATTATTTATAAAAAACTTTTGTACCGAACTGACTTACGATTTTGTCGTTCATTCGGGAGCGAATTGCTGAAATGCTAATTATGTAAGGGCGGAAGCGGGTTGGTGTTACCAATTTGAAGGAAACGAGAAACAATAGTGAGATTGCTCTCACGTCGACACGTAAAATCGGCTTATATGAAACATTAGAATTGTAACATCGTAAGATTGCATCACGAATTGGAACGGAGGGAATCCCTCGTTAGGGATTTCAGTGATTATCATTTAACTTGTGTTTCTACACGTGATTTCTCTCATTCACGTATCTTCATCTTGCCACGTGTGCACGTGTTTGGCACGTTACAACACAGAGATTTTAATTCTGAAGCAATACATGTTTGAAACATATAAGTCAATGATTCTTTGTTTATCTTCTGTTTCAAATGCGTAAAAAAATATATTAGGTATACGATAAAAAAATATATGCGATCAAAAAATTTAATTTTCATAAAAATGATTATTATTCGATATTAGAGCAACTCTAGTATTTTTTTATGCCTTTAAATATCCACATTTGAAGAATTGAATTTACCATTTAGAGTCACAACCTGAAATAACATGAGATAACTTTCTATTTAATGAAATAAATAATTTTATATCTTAGATCAATATGCGTAACGCAATTTTGACACTTGAGCTTTGACTATGTAAATTAAAAGACGTAAATGTTTGTTTATAACAGTCCGCACAACTTCTTGTTTCAGAATACATCTACGGGATAGACCATGATTTGCAAGCGAGAGCACGCTCGGCCATCGAGGCGGAGAGATTCGCCTATCGATCGTAAGTTACTGTTTTTTCGAAGATACAGATTTCGCTAAAAAGTACTTTGTGTCGCGCCCGGGCCATAAATTCGGTGAGAAATGCATTCCCGGAGAAAACGCGCGTACTTTCCCAGTCATGCCACACGATTAACGATCATAATATATTATCGATCCGGTTTATTTCGCTTTTTATAAATTCCCGTGGCGAAATGCAAAATTTTGCCGAAGAACTGACTTTTATATAATCTGTCTATTCCAACGAGATCCGTGATAGTACAGGAATTCCGAAAGCCACGTATACGCATACACGCGCGCAACGTCGCCGAATGTATAATGAAGTCGGGTCACGATCGGATCGAGAGAGAGAGAGAGAGAGAGAGAGAGAGAGAGAGAAAAAGATGACATTGTGGGCGTCAAGGATAAACGGATCCTTCTTTCTCTTTCACGCTCTCCGATCGTCTGTAATTAATGAGAAATTGATTTTCTGGTGCGCAAAAAAAAAAAGAATATTCGACCTCTGGAATGCTATTTTTCTATTATTCATGCAAGACACTGTTAAAAATTAAGAACCGCAGAAATTTGGGGTGTTACTACCGCGATACCCATTACTTTCTCAGAATCTCTCGGAAACACATAAACGAACGAGATTTGCAATCTGGGTAATAACATGTATATTAACTCGACGAGAGTCTTAAGGATATTTATACATTCAAAACTGATTTATTACTTTCTTATATACAAATTGATTTATTACTCTTTCTTATGTACTTTGTTATATACAATTTTACGAGGTCAGACACTCCTATTGGAGGTGATAAATCATTTTAAATCGCACGGATTTATGCGAATGCATATCTATACGAATATATATCGGCGAAGTACTTAAATAATGTTTAAGAACGAACGAATTAGAATAATGCGATATATTTTAGTTTATACGACACGGCAATATAGTAATATGTATGATAATGAAAGCGAATAAAATAAATCTACTTTCTTTGCATCATGTTAAATAGCACTGAGAGTATACTGATTCCCATAAAAAACGCTTTCTTCGAATTTGTTGTGTGTACATCTTGCAAAAATGATTCTGAAGGGAATTCTGCGGGGCCTAAAAGATTTCGAAAAAGTTGTAAAAATACGGTACAATATGCACGACGCATTTAAATTAATGTATCACTATATCGTAACTTCTGCCAGTGGTATTCACGGAAATTAGCCAGACAGTCGGCGCGTCAACGGTTTGCATAAAATTTTTATTTTCTTATGATTAAACATTTATTAACAGCAATTAGCATGAAATTGCTGTAAAGGCGCGCATGAGAATGCAATCTATTTGCATCGTGGCTAATCGTGAAATACGAGATATCGGATGTTCCACATAAGATAAACAAAATTGTACGCGTTAATATTATAATTTGCAACGCTATGCGGTATAGCTTAAGGGAGATTTCTCTCTCTCTCTCTCTCTTTCTCAGAGAGAGTGAGAGAGAAAGAGAGAAAGAATTTAAACTAAATCAATATGCATAACGGAAGCTGAAATGTAGACATTGGTGTAAAAGTGCCAATTGCCAGAGACAAACAGTGTTGACCGTCTTTTCCGCAAGAATGTTGTCGGTTTTACATTACCAGGAAGAAAATTGATTCCGCTTCTTGCGATTTACTTCTTAACGTGTCGCTGACAATGAGACAAAAGCTATTAAATTTTTATTTCTTTTTTTTTAAATAAAATTTCAAAATTCTCTTTTTATCTCTTAGAAATTATTGTTTGATCATTTTTTTATCATCATCAAAATTTCAAATATAATTGATCAAGAGATTTCAAATAAAATACATGGAAATAATGTTTTACATATATTCGTTAAGTTTGTTTTAAAAAAAGACGAAGAGAAGAAACGTTTTATAATCGAGACAGATTGATAAAAAAAGAAAAGAGTAGTCTGCCACTTATTTATTTCTAAATAGAAAAGCAATCGCAAGCAGCGGAAGTAACTCGTGTGTCAACAGTTCTATTAGTTTTTTTGTTCTCGACGAGAATGAATTTCTCGTTTATTGACTCGATCGACGAGTATTCGCACGTGTTTCCACACGGGTTGGCGACATTACTGACATTAGAGAACGATAGTGACGTCGGCGACGATCATGGCCACGTGTATACGGCATATCTCGCAACGTTCGTGCGTACACGCCTCCTCCCGTGACCAGCAGCCTTCTCGAGGTCGAGGAAAGGGAATAGCGACGGCAATGGTCGTGCACGAGAAATCTTCCTCGTGACTGAAATGCCGATACCGGATCAGCCGGCACCGGCGGCTCCTTTCCTCGGCCATGAAAGTAAAAGCGCGCGCCGCGCGCGAGAAAAAGAGGGAAATGGAGCAGGAAGGACGCGTTCGACTTCTAGCGGAACTGGATTCCGTTCTTCCACCTCGAGCGAAAGGACGTGTATAGATAGCGAGAGCCGCGAGGCGACGAAAAAAAGTCTTGCCGACGCAGCCGAACTTTTATGTATCACATCGTATAATGACAAGTATTAGTCATTATTGTAAAAAAAAATTCTTACAAAAGAGTTTTATTTGTAAAAAATATTGTTTCAGTGAATTCGCAAATTATTGTAATTGATAAATTGATTCTCATTTTGCCGTGTCGTTTCAAGCGATTTCGATACAATAGCAATAGCAAAATTGTGTGTTTGCAGATAGACTTTTGGCTATATAGCAAAATTAAACACTTGCGCTTTTACAAAAAAAATGTAAGTTTCTGTTCTGTAAGTTTCCTATTTTTTTTTCAACAAGAGAATCTTTAATTGTAACAAAGTATTTCTTTTCTTCTATTTTATTGTAAAATTTAAAAAACAATATCGATTTCAAACCCGATCATATTGCGACAATAATATCGCGACGATTCTTTTAAGAAAGAAACAAAGAAGAAAAAGAAAATAAAGGAGATACATTATGTAAAGATGAATGAGACACAATAGAGAGAAAAGAATGATGGAAATGGAAGTAGTTAATAGCTATATTATGTTAACGAACAATTACTGTTTTACAGGAAATTGATTGATATATTACTGGGAAAAGATTGCTATATTCATTCTGCTATGTTCGAGTATCAAGTGGTAATTTCCAGTAATAGACTATTACATACGCTGTATTAAATTACTGGAGACATTCCTGGAAATTTTAAGAGACCTTTATGGCATATTCTCTCGCACGTTACTCCTTACTTATCAAGTGATTTAATTTCTCGAAACTGGGAAGCTGAGGAAGCGTTTTTTATGGCTTAAATAATTATTTAATTAATTATTAAATTACTGGAGACATTCCTGGAAATTTTAAACAACCTTTATGGCATATTCTCTCGCGCGTTACTCCTTACTTATTAAGTGATTTAATTTCTCGAAACTGGGAAGCTGAGGAAGCGTTTTTTTTTTACAGTTCAAATAATTATTTAAAAGTACCTGTCAGTTCTTATTATTTGAGCTGATATATTGCTTGCTGTTTATGATTCTTTCGATATCGCTATTCGATTGTTCGTTCAGAAATTGCGAGATTTACTTCTTTTTCCAGACGAGCAAACAAGATACAATCAGTCAACGCAACCTGCAGAGTCCGATCGGAAAGGCCCTGTCCACCGAGCAAGTACAGAACGCCCTCCGGTGCTTGCAATAATGTGAGATATCCTGCCTGGGGCGCCAGAGGCTCCCCGTTCCTCAAATTACTCCCATCGGAGTATTTGGATGGTAAGAAAATGCACAATATACCTATATCCTCAGCATGTTGTGTTTCGCATAAAATAAAATATTAAATCGGTCATTCGAATAAATTCGATAAATAAATAGAATGTGTTGATATCAATCTATATATGTGGAAGGTGTTTTTAAAATAGTTGGTATTTCTATTCTAAATGAAAGAATGATAAGAATAAAGAGATGCTTAGTCCTGATACATTAAAATATCAATATGTATTTGATTTATCAGTGCATGATTTGAGTTCATATATTAAAATTAACGACCTGTTTTTATCGAAAAATATATATTCTGTATTTGCTCTGTATTAATTAAAATTAATTAATTTCATTGACTTTAGTCAGTTACCTTTACAAGAGCGATATTAATATTGTAATATTGTTCTAATTGTTGTATTAAGTATTTCTAGATATCGTGAATAGTAAATTGAAAATTTTTTTATTCATAAGATATTCAAGATTAAATTTTTTGTTTGTACAAATAATTAGCTAATTGTTGAGGCACGCGGCGTGTGGTCCTTGGCATTGGCATTCGTACTCATCGTAATTACAAACGTCAACATTGACAATGAGAGTGAAAAACGAATGTTAAAAATTAATAATAAAACGTTCGAGCCTCCCAGACTCCCCCTTAATTTGGATGGCAATTAATATTTATGGGCGAACGAGGACCTCCGTTTATTACTGTAATACCGATGCGACTGATGCGGTACCGAGAATGGAAAGTGAAAATTGGAACGTGCGTGCCAGCTAGACAAACGAGCCTAGATCCACTTCGACGTTGGATCGTTTGGTATGACCGATACGCGCAGTCTTCTCGAGGCCTTAGAGAAGGCGGATTAGCATGCGGAAAGGCGCGCACACGTGCTCGTAGGCACCCGTTGAAATAGAGAGTTTCGCGAGTGGATCTTCTCTCTCTCTCTCCCGCCTTGCGCGCTATATCAATTGCGACATCGTGTGCGCGCGCGCGCAAGGCGTACTATAAAATAATAGTGGGATCTTGCCCGTGCGATCTTTGTGCATGTGCGCGCGATCGTTTGTGCCGGCCGTTACGTGCGCTCGCACCGCGCGTAACACCGTTACTTCTCTCTTTCATTCCCTCCGGTTTTTCCCGGAAAGAAAAAGCCTCTTCCTAGCTCCGGTCGCGTGCTTCTTCACGGCATGAGTGTCGCGGTTTATTTCTTTATGACACCCCGTACTGATCTCTCTCGATCACTTCCATATTGTTTCCGGGTCGTTTTTATAATGGTTTTGTGATGGATATGTGTACGTAGGCATTTTTATATATCAAATCATATCTTTTATTATACACGTTATTCGAAATAAGCATCAAATAATTTTTGCACTTTGCCCATTTCTTAAGATTAACATTGAAGAAATTTTAGCTTTTATTATAAGAATCAATGGAAGAGATGCCGAATTTATCGTGATAATGTTATAACTATGAACGTGAAATCGGATTTAGAATTGTCAATTATATTACATTGAAGTATGAATATTGGCAAAAACTAAATTGTTAAGTTAATTAGCTCAGTCTCTTATAAAACTCTATTTGAAATTTATAAGTCACACTTACAAAATCATAGATAAAAATATATACGCGTATATTTTCATGTGCGTATATTTCAATGCATATTAAAATATATACGTATATATTTTTATATATAAACTGTAAATATATTTTTTATATAAATTCATATTTATATTTAATATTAAGTTTTATATATTGATTTTTATATAAAATTTATATAAATATAAATATTTTTCGTGTTACAGTTGCACATAAAGTTATAAATAGAATTTCTATCTAACGAATTATGGATTGTCTAAAGTAGGTTAAACTATCGGTGTTTATATGCTAACTAAGCGAGAATTAAATTCGCACTACCAAATTATTCGCAGTTCGGACTTTCGGCGATATTCCGACTGTGCTATAGAAAGAGAGGGAAAGGCAGGCAGCTGGCGCCCATCTCCGGGAAAAGAATTCAAACGAAAATATGAAAGTGAGAAGACCGAAGAAAGTGACTGTGGTCTTCTGTGGGCAGTGGTTGCCAGACGGCGCCTTTCGACGTCGTTGACCCCAAAATACCTCGATGATCGTTGAATGCCTTTCTATACATTTTCATTGCGTTTTTTTACGACAGAACAATCATCCGAGAAAATAGACTTTGTGTTACATATTACGAAATAAATAATTGTATCTTGAAAATTTCAGAATAAGTCATATTACGTAATAAAAGAACTGATCACAAACAAATCTGATTTATGAGTGAAGTTAAATTGTCCATTTAATACAAATGAAAAATCTTCATTTAATATACAAATATGAAGCTACAATTTAAAAGCACAAAAAATAATAAATGTAATAAAATAACGATTAATTATTTATATTCTGTATGCGGAAGTTTTTATTTTACAATGAATCTACGTGAACATTTTGCCAATAAAAAATATAAAAAGGCAATGTCATTAAAAAAAATTTGCCATCGTCGCAGCTAGAAGATCGCGATTTATTAAAGTAATATTTGCGGATCTTATTCTTCCACCGTTAGAAAAATCTCATTGATGAGAGCGGGTGCAGAAAAGCATTGAAAAAAAAATCAATCATTTTCGTCGTGCATAAACGCGTGACTGTCGTCATCATTGATGAGTCGTGTGCGCGCGTCACGAATGAAAGGGCCGCGTTCATTGTGTAGGAAGAAACCATGGCGCTGTGTAACACTTACTTGCGTGATCATTAAAGAGCGACGCCTGTGCGTAACCATGACACAGAATTTTGACACACATTGCACTTTTCGAGACCCAACGAAGGAGCCGCCTCCTCGCGCGGCTCCCTCGCGGCCGCGCCGCCGGTAGCGTCGGCGTGAGTCATCGCGCGCATCCGCATTTGAAGTGCCATCAAATTTGTTCTCGTACAATTTTATCATAAACATCAGCTATATCCTTCTTCTATTAGTGCATTATTGTTGACGTTAATTTTATGATTATTACATTTACTTCGCTTTCATCAATCTGCACTCTCTTGTCTCTAATGCCGGCGTATTCAAACGTGGGACGCGTTAACTATCACCTTGCGCTAGGTGTTCGCACATGCCGACGTATTATCCCATATTGTCTCATTTCGCACTCCATGCATAATGCCACACTCTTGATTTCCATTGTATAAGTGCTACATTTCGCTTTCTATTCTTAGAATGATCGACTTTACGCTTGCCGTTCTCATGATCTCGGCAATTAACGCAGAAGATTAATATAAAACAGAACGTTATGAAAACTTATATCGAAAAAAATTGGCAGAAAGATATAAATATTAATTTTCTAATTAAATAGAAAATATCAAAACTGTTTTTTCAAGAGTAAGACATAATATAAAAAAATCTTATTTTAATATTTCATATCTTTGATGTTTTTTGTGTAGGCTTAGACCCGTCCCCCGGTTGTATAATTAATAACAGATTTGCTCTGTTTTCGTCATATTTTTGAAAATTTTTCTTTAAAAAAATTCTTTGAGATTTCAAACATCGACCTTGCTCTTACTCTAATATTTTATTCATTTAGAGTTACGAAGGTGATTATTAGGCAAGGCTGTTTCATCTCATTAATGCCATTCATCCTTTCTATTAGAGAGTTATAATTGCCTCAGTAGGCAATGTACGATACTCATTCAAAGAAGAAACTATTTTTACCCACGGCATAAAAACGAAATGAAATAAGTGCAAACGATCGAAAGTTACTTGTCCGGAAAAAAACAAATAATATACTATTCTATGTTTCCCATGAGAGTACAGTAGTATTTTAATACAATTAAATGTTGCATTAAACGCGCGAAGTATGCCATAATATTCCTTCATTTCCTATTGTTTTATACACTTTCTTTATTAATATATTTTTTAATGTCACATTAATAAATAATTTGAATTAATTTCTAATATCTATAATATACGTTTATAAATTTATAAAATGTAAGAAGATTATTTAGAGTATTATAACGTAAAAATTGTAAAGAATATCTCAACCACGCAGAGCGTTGGTATAACACGATATTGAAAAATTAATGTTGCTTTTTCTCCATTTTGCATTTGAATGTTTTGACATTGTTATATTTAATCCATCAATTTGTTTCAATAACGGGAAATTAAAAATATGGATAAAAATATAATACAATGTATTTTGAATATGAATAAAAATATGATTCTCACTAAGAATAAAGGGAAAGATAAAAAAAATTAATAAACGAGGAAGAAAAAAGGGAAGAAAAGTGAAAAGATAAAATTATAAAAAGCGAAGAATCAAACTTTAACGAGCTCGTATTTTTATATGTCCGCATTAGGCATTTCAAGACCGCGTCAATCGGTGGGTACTCACAGTCTACCTGCGCCAAGCGACGTCATCTCCCACATTCTGTCATCCTTTCCGAGGGTAGGAAGCCATGAAGGTTTGACTAGCCTCTCGGGCGTCTGGTCGGAGCTGGTGTTGCAGGATATCGCTGCCACGGTGCACTCCGCGGGTCGCGAGGACAAATGTTGCTCCAATGCGCAGCAGCATCCGGAGTGCTACGAGATGCACGACGAAAGATACGGCTGCAGGAGTTACTGGCGTTCGGTGCCGAGTTTAACGGTGCACGGCTGTCAGTTCGAGGCGAGGGAGCAGATGAACGGCATGTCCGCGTACTTAGACGGTTCGGGCATCTACGGCGCCACCGACGACAAGTTGCATCTGCTCAGGACCTACGAGGATGGCAAGGTCAATCTGAGCGCCTGCGAGTTTTGCAATCGAATCGAGCGGAACGCTCTTGGCCTGCTGCATCGGGTCTTCCTGCGCGAGCATAATCGTGTGGCGAAGAGACTGGTGGAGGCGAACGTGCACTGGGACGACACGAAGCTCTTCTTGGAGGCACGTCGCATTGTCGTCGCGCAGCTTCAGCACATCACTCTCAACGAGTACGTGCCGGCGATACTGCGGGAAGCCGCACAGGTCGACCACGAGCTTAGACCGCTCGCGAATGGCTTCTACGCTGGCTATTCCTCGTCCAACAAGGCGGGTACGTACCAAGCAGTGGCACTGGCAGCTCTGCGCGCTCTCGTTTGGACGCGTGTGGATAAAATAGGAGACCTGGAGAGTCACATAATCTTTTCCGCCAACGGCATCGGTCTCGCAGCCGCGCCGGACGCGGCTTCCTGGTCTGTGCATGTTGCACGAGATCACGGAGTGCCCGGATATATCAAATTCCTGACTGACTGTTTGGGAGAGAGCATTAAGGTAAATTTGATACCGTAGATCAATTCTACGATTATTATCCTTTTTTTATAAGGAAATGATAGCATGGTTTTTTTTTGGAGTGCTACCATCATTTTTTAAATTTCATCCTAAAATAATCATTTCTCTCAATTCGCTTTGATGCAGATCGAAAACTTCACGGATCTAGCGAGAGTAATGCGACCCGAGCACGCGCGGCTGCTAAGTACGATTTACGCGAATGTGGAGGACGTGGATCTTCTCGTGGGTGGTATCCTGGAGATTCCGGCCACGGGCGTCGCCGTGGGTCCAACGTTCGAGTGTCTTCTTAAGAAGCAGTTTGTAACGATGAGAAATTCCGACCGCTTCTGGTATGAGAATGACATTCCACCATCAGGATTGACGGCGGCGCAGCTGGCCGAGATCAGGAAGGTGTCTCTCGCCAGTATTCTGTGCGCCAACACCAATATCCGCAGGATCCAGCCGAGAGTGTTCATCCGACAGGATCAATATCTGAACAGCAAAATCAGTTGCGAGCAGTACGAATCTCTGAACGTCGCGGCGTGGAGCGAGGAACCGCTGCCGCTTCCTGTGATGCAGTACAACTCGGTGAACGCGAGCACGGGCGAGCCGACGTTGTCGTTCCTGCCGGAGATCAGTCCCGAAGTGCTCGCCGCTGCAGTAAAGAGAGCGGAGGAAGAGCTGATCGAGCGGAAGCAGTTGGAGTACAATGCCTGGCTGGAGCAGAAAGTTGCCGATCCGAAATCGTCTGCCGGCACCGCGGCTAGCTTCTCGAAGGCCAACAAGGACGCCCTGCTGCTCGCCAATTCGTCCATCATGTACGAATTGGCGACAAACGAGATTCTAAATGGCGTGCACGGTCTTCGACGTAGGAGACGTCAGGTCTTCGAGAACACGGAGAACGTTCTGGGCTTCCCCAATACGAACGAGTTCTCCGATCTGTTGCAGAACGTCGATATCTCCGGCTTTCTGAATCACCATCACAAGCCGACAAATCACGAGGAGGTGCAGTGTCCCGTGGACGATTCCCGATGCGATCCAACCACGCCCTACCGAACTCTATCGGGCCACTGCAACAATTTGCGTAATCCCAGCCTGGGCAAGTCGCTGACGACCTTCGCCCGCCTGTTGCCGCCTGCTTACGAGGACGGTGTTTCCAAACCGAGGGGCACATCCGTCACCGGCGCGTCGTTGCCGAATCCCCGAGTGATCTCCACCGTGATCCACCCGGACATATCGAATTTGCACAATCGTTACACGCTGATGGTGATGCAGTTCGCGCAGTTCCTGGATCACGACATGACGATGACGCCCATACACAAAGGCTTCGCGGAGTCGATTCCCTCCTGCCGATCGTGCGACTCGCCGCGCACCGTTCATCCCGAGTGCAATCCGTTTCCCGTGCCGCCGGGCGATCACTTTTATCCCACGGTGAACGTCTCGTCGGGCGCGCGTATGTGCTTCCCGTCGATGAGATCGTTGCCGGGCCAGCAGAATCTGGGTCCGCGCGAACAGGTGAATCAGAATACCGGCTTCCTGGACGCGTCGGTGGTCTACGGCGAGAACTCGTGTATCTGTAACATCCTCCGCGGCTTCAACGGCCGCATGAACATCACGTCGAATCCAAGACGCGGCAGGGACTTGCTGCCGCAATCAGCGACGCATCCTGAGTGCAAGGCGCGATCGGGATTCTGCTTCATCGGCGGCGATGGCCGCGCTTCGGAGCAACCGGCTCTGGCAGTTATGCACACCATGTGGATACGCGAGCACAATCGCGTGATGGAAGGCTTGCGAGGGGTAAATCTTCTATTTTTCGTTTTTATTTGAATATGAATTTAAAAAAATCTTCTATCGTTATACATTCCGCAATCTACTGATTGAATTTGTCGCAATTTGTCAGCAAATTGCTAATATCTTGTTAATTGGGTAAAAATAATTCTGCTTTCGTTAATATAAAACTTCTTGAATAGGTGAATCCCCACTGGGACGGCGAGAAGCTGTTCCAGGAGACGCGACGTATCATTAGCGGGATGCTGCAACACATCACGTATAACGAGTTTCTGCCAAGAATTCTTGGCTGGAACGCCGTCAGTCTATACGGTCTTAAACTGTTGCCCCAGGGTTACTACAAGGAGTACTCGCCCACCTGTAACCCGAGCGTGCTCAACGAGTTCGCCACCGCGGCCTTCCGAATCGGCCATTCCTTGCTGCGACCGCACTTGCCGCGCATGGACCGCAACTATCAGAATATCAATCCGCCTATCTTGCTACGCGACGGATTCTTCAATCCCGACATGCTCTACCAGGAGAACATGATCGACGAGATGATACGCGGCCTGGTGACCACGCCGATGGAGACGTTGGATCAGTTCATCACCGGCGAGGTGACCAATCATCTGTTCGAGCAGAGCGGTATTCCGCACTCCGGCGTGGACTTGATAGCCCTGAACATTCACCGGGCCCGCGATCACGGATTGCCGTCGTACAATCACTACAGAGCGCTGTGCAACTTGAAGAAGGCCACCACGTTCGAGGATCTGTCCAGAGAAATGGCGCCGGAGGTGATAGCCCGTATGAAACGCATATACGCCTCCGTGGACGACATCGATCTCTTCCCGGGCGGTATGAGCGAGCGACCGCTTCAGGGCGGCTTGGTCGGACCCACCTTCGCCTGTATCATCGCCATTCAGTTCAGGCAATCGAGAAAGTGCGATCGTTTCTGGTACGAGACCGACGATCCGAACATTCGCTTCACCGAGCATCAGATGGCAGAGCTCCGCAAGACTACTCTGGCCAAAGTGATATGCGAGAATATGGACCATCACACAGACATGCAAAGAGCTGCGTTCGATTTGCCCAGTAATTTCTTAAATCCACGCGTACCGTGCAGCTCTATGCCCCATATGGACTTCGCCGCCTGGCGAGAGACCAGACACGGCTGTCAGATCGGCGGAAGAAACGTCGCGGTCGGCGAGTCTGGTTTCCCTACGCCTTGCACCAGCTGCGTTTGCACCAATGAAGGCGTAAGTACTCTTTCTGAATGAAAAGAAACGCGTTAAGATCCGGATTTCTTTACTCTTAATTCAAACTAAATAAAATCCGTCTTCTTGGCCTATGTATCTTTAATCTCCTTCATAAATATTATTATGAACTGTGTTAGAAAATGAATAAATCGCTAGCGCGAAATATAGATTCTAAAAGTAAGTCTCTTTTTCAGACGCAATGCGCCTCACTGAGAGTCACGGACTGCAACCAACTTTTACGAGAGGCTTCTCGAGAGGCGATTCTACGGGACGATGTATGCACCGCCCAATGTGGTTTCGTTCTGGCGGCTTCAGAGAGTAACGCGAGGGTACAACAGTTCACTACGCCCAGCGGTCCGGGTTTCAACGGTTTCCCGCCGCACACGAATAATCTGAGAAGTTCGCCGACGCCAGCCTCATTCAACGGTTTCAAGCTGCCTGACCTTTCGCAATTCATTGGGTGAATCGAAAGAGATGGGAAGACTTAAAATTCATAACTCTTTGTTTACTGATTGTACGCAGAAAAAACACACTGCCTTTACTTCGAGAGACTGTACGACAAACGCGATCCCAAAATTTCACAACCAGTCAGTCGTGATCAAGCTCAATATTATAAAAAGAAAACAAATACAGCGGACAAACAAGGAGAGACAGTAAGCATGTTTAAACATACGCATAACGCAAGAGATACTTAACGAAAGATAAAAGAAAGAGTACCTGTCGGCGTGTAAATATAGATGATAAGACGCAAGTATTTAGTTCGCCGAAGAAGAACGAGATCGCATCGTCGAAAAATAAAAGAGAGCAAAAAGACACGCGAATGGGTTGAGACTTTTTGAATTAGGAATGATGATTTTTTTAAGACACATAGAATCATTTCAAAGTATAATGAAAGTTTTGGTTTGTTGTTTTTGAATATCATTCGAAACAGAAAAATTGTTGAAAGTCTTGAATGTGTTGAAAATTTCTCTCAAGTGTTTTGAAAATATAATTGTTCTTTCATAATATTTTACGTTATTGTTTCATTTTTCTATTTTATACACAAATAAGAACTATAACTTTTGTAAATTTTTCATTTTTTTCGATATTCGATGCTTTAAAAACAGATTTTCTAAACACTTAAGAGAAGAGAGTTTTTAAGGGTTTCACAAGACATTCAAAATCTTCCAAGATTTTTTTAAGACTTACCGGTTTCGAATAATATTCGAAGCAATTTTGAATATATATATATATATATATTTTTTTTTATAATTGGATTTTAATCTCTTTTCAAAAGAAGAGGATTACAGTATTTATCATTATCAGGAATGACGCACTAGATAAACGCGTGTACAAGCAAGACTTGCAATGAATTGTCGCGATCTGTGCAATACGGTGATATTACGTTACCACGGAAATTGAGATTGAGATTGAATATAAAGCATGTCAAAATGGACACGCGATATCATATGTGCTGTGTGCTGTGGTACGTGTCAGCGTCACGTATCGATATGTCATTTCATATGTGTTTGAATGATGGACGGTATCGGCTCGAAAGAAATGCAAATGCAACGTTCATTATGAACTTGTCTTTCTTTCTCTCGTTACACCTACCTAATTTTGTATTATAATAACGTGACATGTATAATGTTAATAAATGTTAATATTTCTTTTTCACTGTCGTTCTTTTCTTTAATAACATAAATGTCAATTTTATATATCACACATACCTCCACAAGCTCTAGAATTGGTCCTCTCACTTTTAGTTTCGGAATAAAGGAAGGTGGGCGATTTCTTTCTAGGATGGGTTATTTACAAGGATTTCTGACGGTCCAAGTAACAAATATTCAACGCGTTTTATTTTCATCCATTCGCTCCAGTTTGGTCCAAAATGTCTGCTTTTAGATTTTCGGAAAACTATTGAGATTTTTTGTCTCGCCCCGAGTTTAACTGGCAGGAACTTCTTGTTTATTATTAATCACGGTTGCATTTTCTTGTATTGTGGGCGTCTGCTCTGTGCAGCGCCATAATCCGTAGTTTTTGCCGACTACAGTCTGCCACAGTCTCAAGGTACCATCCTCGGATCCGCTAGCGTACAATTCACCGTCCGGTGAAAAGCGTACGCAGTGTACAGGCCCAAAGTGTCCCTTGAATGATTCTGAGAATGCAAATTTTACATACAATTAAAATCACTTTTGATAAAAATTGCTGAAAAGAAAAAAAATTATATATATAATAGATACCTAATTCCGCCCCTGTATTGTAGTCAAATTTGTACATTTTAAAGTCCTCCCCACCACAAACAAAAATAGTACAATCCGGATGCAGACTGGCACTGTTAACTTGAGTCGGGACCATAAATTCTTTTATTTTGGTTAATCTGACAAAGAAATTGAAAAATCATTTCCATGAAAACTGCATTAATTTTCCTTATTAAAAAATTTCAATATGATTTTAATATCTAATAATTTTTATAATAAAATTCTAGAAGTTGGCAAGGCTTTCTAAATTGCAACTGTAATAAAATTAGAAACAAACTAAAATTCATCTAGACTGACTTTTCAAAGAATTTTTATAATCATTTTTTATAAGAGAAAAAAATGCTACATACTCTTTGCTATCCCAAAAGGTAACAAGGTTAGAGTGAGTAGTCGTAATGATTTTTCCATCTTTCGACACTTCCATGGAACTAGGAATCGCGGGGAAGTCCAGTCTTTTAACTTCTTGTCCGCTATTTCTGTCCCATACCCTCAGCGTCTTATCGTCTGCGCAGGTAATTAAGGCAGAGTTATTGTCGAAGAAAGTGACGTGCCTAATACCACTTGTATGACCTGAGAAGATCTGAAAAAGAAAGAAATCGAGATGTTTTATATTAGTTCAGATATTTATTATAATATTTGACCATGTTTGCATTATTAAGAGTTCATATATATATATATATATATATATAAAACTTTACCTGTGGGGCTGCTTCTGGTTTATTAAGATCATAAATGCGTACGAGCTTTTCATTAGAACCAGTACACAAATTATTAGAATCTGTACTAAAATTGACAGATTTGACTATGTGATTGTGTTGAAAAGAATGAACTTCTTCTCCCTTAATCGCGTCCCAGACTTTGGCATTAAAATCTGCTGCGCCAGTTGCAGCTCGAGTAGCGTGTGGATTTAATGCTACACCCCACACGGCTCCTTTATGTCCTTCAAATGTACCAATCCAATCACCAGTGTCGCCTTGCCGCAACATAGGTTTGCCATCTGAAAAAAATCATTGTTTAAAAATATTTATGTACAGAAAAAAAATTTTATTTACAATTATTAAATGTATAAATATATAAAAAGATATTTAAATTCAATTTATTTCCAAATAATTACACAATAATTTCCCCCAAAAAAATCTAATTGATAATCTATTAAATAAGAAAATAGGCAATTTTGACTCTTTCAAAGCTTTAATCTCTCTACATTTTATGGGATAGATATAACTTTGAAGCACAAAATATATTTTATATCTGATATCTATATTACAATATAATAATACATTTTTTAGAATTCAAAGATAGATGATGTAATATCCAATAAAAAATATATATTATAAAATAAACTACAGCTTGGAAAGAATTAAAATTGCTTATCATACAAAAATTATAATACAAAAATTTATATCTCAAATATAAGTAACTATTCCTTGTGTGGAACATCTGCGTATAACATCCAGTTAATAAGAAAAAAAGCATTAATATGCATTAGAGTAAACTTTTCGATTAACCTCAATCAAGATGTATCAGCAATATCTGTAATCAGGTTGATTCATCAAAACAACGCTTGCAACAGTGTTGTTCATTTCTATCATTGTAGATCAACTTTAATCAACTCTCTATCTTCTTCTAACTCTTAGAGAAAGAGTAAAAAGTAAATTAAATCGAGATTAAAATTAATCTTCATTGGTAGAAATGGACATTTATATCACATAGCATGTTAATCCCGTTCAATCCCGAAAGTTATTTTCGCGTTGAATCACTTGAATCTCATCATGAATCCCGTGAAGCGGGCAGGAAGAGATCGGAGCGCCCGTCAAGAGCACGCGTGTGTCTAACCTCGAAAAAGTCGCGGAGCCTTGGGAGCGACCGGAAAGAATCGGGCCAAGGCGATCGAGAATCGTGCGTGCGATTGAAGAGCACGATCGAGAGGAAAGGAACAAAAAAAAAAGGAGGGGAAAAAATCGGAGCAACGTGTCCGCGACGATCTCTGACCGAGATCTCCCGCACCCATTCCCGGGACCGTTACCTTTGCACGCCGAGATGAGGTAGTACCCGGACTCGGTGACGTCGGAGAAGGCGAGGTGGACCACGGGCCTCGTGTGTCCGCTGCACGTCAGCGGCGTCTGCCTCAGGCTGGCCATCGCGCCGTTTGTCGCGTCGCCGTCACCGCCGCCGGTGCCGCTGCCGCCGCCGCCTCCCGTTTTTCTACCTTCCTTCTTTCCTTGCGACGAGCGAATGCGCACGGTAACGCGCTCGCTACCGTGACTTCTAATGCCTCCACGTGCGTGCGCTCGACTTGAGATCGCTCAGCGTACGAGCGTCGTATCAAGCGTACGAAACACGACTGATCAGCGCTCACCGACGTGACCGAACTGATGGACGGACGAACCTAGCCTGACAATCGGCGTCGACGGCCGTGGCGCGCGCTGCCGAGCGCGCGGCGCGCAACAGTGACGTACCAATCGTCCGCGCGTACCGGCAATTAAGTTGGCGAGAGACAGGAAGAACGTCGCACGCGCTCGCGCGCTAGACTGGCCTCGTCGCTGTTGTCCTCGTCTCCCTTTTTCTCCTTCTCCATCTGCGTTATCAGCTCTTTCTGTCTTTCGAAACGCCGCGCGATCGTTATTTACGCCAACGGGCGTAGCGTAAATCTGCCTCAAGTTTGCAAATTTATGCACTCTGGGGAGCTGATAGAGTTGACTTGATGAGTTTCTCGAATTGAAATTTCTAAGGCATCTGTGTCGTATTAATATATTTATCTTTTAATAATATGTATTGCATACAACGTATAAATAAGATGTAAAATTGAAAAAATAGGATGTTAGAATACAATATTATATGAGATATTTTCTTGCATGATGAATAAATAGTTTAAGGGGATTTACTTCGAACGCGCGATAAATCTTTATCGATTTTAGATTTAAACGACGGAAGACGTTTAAATTGTCACGTTGAAATTGTCACGTTGAAATCCCGTTTAAATTGTCAACACACCGAGGAAGCGAATGAGCGGATACCTCAATGTTACATGAGCGTAATAATACACCATTCTATGATAGCGCTGCTCAGGCACTTCAAGGTTCAAACGTTTTGCGTATTTCAGATTCAATAAAAAAAAATCAAGAAATGAAGTATAACGAAAAATTATCTGAGAATATTTTCTTTTCAACAATCTATTATATGTTTTTTTAATGAAAATTGTGTAAACTCGTTTACTAAGAAGAAAATGGAAAAATATAGATATTGACACATATTTGAACGTGCTCAAGAGATTTAGCTATTTTTTAATTTTATATACATAATGTGTATATATATATATATATATATATATATATATATATATACACATGTATAAGTATGATAGATAATATTAATGTACAATAATATATATTCTTTCTTTTATTAATTTATTATATAAATTACTCACGCATATCAGATGTGTAAAAAAAATAATAATAATACATTATACGTACATATATGCATGTATATAATGATTTATTTTTCCTCTTTTTTATTACCACGTGTATTTCTATTATTGATAGGCATTTGTCGGATACCTTGCCTTGACCCTGTAAGTTGTTTCTTTTAAATCCTTTTTAAATCATGACCATGAATTAAAACAGCTTTCCCTCTCTTCCGCTCCTGTAAATAACCTTAGCGTATTATAGAACACGCGTTTTTGTCACGTGCATTGACTGTCAATCAGTCAATATTCGAAGGATAGAATTGAAACAAATATCGAAGAAAATTTCGATGATTGCGACGCATTAATTTATATATGATTGTGAAAATAGACAATGATTGACGTTTTGTAATTAACTTAATACCCTAATAATCATGCAGAATTTGCAATAAAAAATAAAAAAATTAATTAGATAAGAAGGTAAGAAACAAAGTATTGTACAATGGAAATATTTTCTATATATATATATATATATTTCCTATAAATAATTTCATAATATTTAAATATAACAGAAAATCAGTACAAAATTTGTCAGTTGATTAATGCTTGCAAGTATATATGTGCTATATAATTTTATAATAATATGATATATATATAATTTATTTTTAATATCTTGCAATGCTTTATATAAAATAATATATGAATTATATATATCGTAAAGAATGTATTTTTCAGACTGCTAACGAACATCCCATGTGTGAGCCGAAATAGCTCAGTTGGGAGAGCGTTAGACTGAAGATCTAAATGTCCCCGGTTCAATCCCGGGTTTCGGCAATTGGAATTTTTTTTTCAATTTATTACGATTTACGACAATATTGAAATAAGAACGAAATTATTAACAGCAAAATAATAACAAAAGTAAACCAAAATATGTATTAAATGTTAAATATTTTAACGTAATCTCTCTCTCTCATCTTTTTGTACATTGCATCATCGAGAAGCGCATTTTAAAACCCCAGCTACTCCAAGATACCGAACTTACAATTGCAGCATTTCAGACATCCTGTAGATCAACTTTTAATTGTGAAGAGCGACGGCAACGGTACGATCCAATCCCATCCCCTTAAAAAAAAAAATAAAAAAAACTTAGGATTGAGAGAACGTTCTCGAGGGAGGGACACGCCAGGAGAAAAGAGTTTCTCAAGTTTTAAAAGGATAAGTTAAGAAAATCCGTTGTTTCGAATATATCGGATGCAGCCGGGATGATGCCGCAGGAAGAGGAACAGAGGACGAGGCGACGCGACGGTCCACGCTGCCGTGCGCACACTCCCGAGGCAACTCCGTTGGAGACCCGCTGCCGCTGCACCTGCGAGCAGCGAGGTTGGCGTTGCGAGGATTGGCCGCGCGGCAGTTGGACCTTGACGTGCGCGGCGTGAAAATGTCGATTCCTGGCTGCGCTGCTGGCGGCCGCGCGTACACGTAGGGTGAAGGGCTGCCGGGGGGGAAGAGAGAGAGAGAGAGAGAGAGAGAGAGAGAGAGAGAGCTGCCGTGCTCCAAGGCCGTTTCAAGGCCCTCGGCGAATGTCAGCGTTGTAGAAAAAAAAAAAAGGAAAAGACGCGGAGGGAGAAACGCGCGTCCGAAGACCTCGGTCTCGAAGGGGTAGTCGGCATCGCGCGAGCTGGCCACGAGGTTCACGTGCGGCTTTCCCCGCGATCAACCGGCTCTTCACCGTATTCCACGCGGAATTCCATACGGGAACGATGAGGTTCCCGCGGATGCTGCTCGTCGTCGGCTATTTGCTGCGCTATCACGTCGCCCGTTCAATAGCCGGTGAGTACGAATGCACACACCGTGTTCGCGGGTATACATATGTTTCCCCGGCATATACCTGCCGCCTTTGTGCCATTTAATTGTCATCCCCGAATGAGAAGATACGTTATTACGTTTTGTATTTTATTTAATTGTAGAAAATATATCATTACGTTTTACATTCGTTTATTAAATATGTTTATTAAATTTCTTGTTATGTTTGACGCATTCTGTATTTAAAAAAAAAAGGTACGAGTGTAAACGTGCACGTGCTGAAATTTGAGAGAAAGATTTCGCGTCGAGCCAAATCCGACGCTATCGGAAAATAAATATAGAATCGCAATTTCATGTGAAATAATATATGTGTATATACTGCAAGGATTATCTTCAGAATTCCCATCCTTCTGAACGTTTAAAAAAAGAAATTTAATTAGGTTACGAAATACCCTACTATCTATATTATATTCCAATCATCTTTTTAAATACATTAATTTTTTTAAATTATAATGTACAGCAGAATATGAAAAATAATATGGCAAAGCAATTTGACTTAATAATAGTTAGATAAGAGAAGAAAAACACATTTAAATTTTAAAAGAGATGTATTATATTTTATATAAAAAAAACAATATTAAAAAATTTCTAGGAAAGCGAAAAAAATCTCTTTGCATAAAAAGAAAATCATATTCTTCCTTTCTAAATGTCAAATACGTTATTTTGTTGCCGTTTCTTCAAAATTTTGCTTTTTATTAAAAACAATGATTTTATTTAAAATTAAATTTTATATATATATATATGTATATATATTTATTATATATATAAAATTTTAATTACATAATCTCTACGATGTTAGAAAGCACTATTTATATATAAAAAATTATATAAATTTTTCAAATTATATACTTACAGTAGCGTTATTAAATTTATTGCCATTCGCAAAATACAACGACAAATATAACTAAATATATCGTACCCTGTGGCAGCTTTAAAGTTTGATAAGAGTGCTTAATAAATATTGTGCACGGTGGAAATTACTGGAAGAGATTTATAACTCCTCTTTCTCTCTCTTTTTCTCTCTTTATATCTCGCACCGTGCAAACCTTTTGTCATATGCTATGAAAAAATGACGCGCGTTATAAAATATGGTAGAGGATATGGCATATTCTCATATTTTATGGTGTCCTAGAAATAATATTATTAATTTTTATTTAACGGTAGTTTTAAAGTACATATATTTATCTAAAAAGTAAATTCCTGTTTAAAATGGCACACATTTATTATTAATAAACTCGTTAGGTAAAATTCCGTTTACTTTACGCGATAATATATCATAATATTATTATTTATTCATTGTCATACACCATTTATTATCTATTTGTATATTATTATTATAACATTATGCGAGCAAGCAATTAATTATCGACGGCGATAATCTAATATTGATATAAAATTAATATCCAATATTTTCAATACTTCAACTTTCAAAGGTATTGCGTATGCTGTGGAAACAAAATTGATTCTTGGATATTATAATTTTGTTAACATCTGCTGCGCGCGGAATAATGGGCAAAATTCAGCGCAGATTATGCGACATCGGTGGTCGCTGCATGTCGTAGATAAACGGCTTAACACCACCACTCGGAGTTGCATTTACAAGTATATTTTAAGTAATCGCGACACTTGCAAATACAGCAAATACGTTTGCACATTTACAATGATCGGGTGCGTGTTTCCGAGACGCATGTTCTCGGTTGAAGACTTCTACGATATGTTACGCGTGCCCAACGTGGTGTACAGTAAAATATTTTAAAAATTATTCTTTTATAACCGATTTATTGTTATCGTTATAATTTTAAAAAGAATTAAGGAATATTTTAAATTCGATCTGCGTAAAAAGTGTCGCGCAATTTGCAGATGCGTTGAATAGATTAGTTTGGTCGGAAATGCTGTACTAATGACACGATTAACTATAATAACAATTATGTTAAACCAACACGTTTTAATTGCTTACCCATTGATTAATCCTATATGGGTAGCGGGGAAAAGGGCGGAGGTAAAGCAACGCAGTTGATTTGCTGAATTAATGATGCTTTAGCGGACACCTCGCTAACGAGGGGCCATTGTTCGCGATTTCAAAAGAATCTTCGAATGACCATCCCGTTAATCCAAGAACCGATTCGTTAAAAGAGTGATAAAGGATCGAGTCGTTACATTTTTTTAACATTTGCTAACAATATTGCGCGATATCATATTAATTGGCACGCGTGTAAGTATATACATATATGTATATAAAATATAAGTTACATATAAATTCACGTAGAAATATTATTAAGTATTATTAACAATAAGCTGTGACTGAGTAAGGTTTTTTTTATTTGTTTGTGTTTCTCATATTATGTTGCATAATAATACGTAATTTGTATAACAAACATATAATAAGTATTCTAAAAATGTGTTTTTATTTAATTTTATCAGCGTTATTAAAAAAATATGTGACTTACGCATTTATACTACATAATTACGCATATCACATCTACTTTCTTACAAAAATAATTCGTTTAAATATCCATTTAAATTGTTTTAAATTTTTTAATTAATAGCAAAGCTGTTTTGAACGAATGTCTTTGAACTCATATTTGTATCTATCATGTAAATATATGTGAGAATAAAAATGTGTTTTTATTTAATTTTATCGGCGTTATCGAAAAAATATATGACTTATAATTATGCGTATATCACATCTACCTTCTTACAAAAACAATTCGTTTGAATATCCATTTAAATTGCTTCAAATGTTTTAATTAATATCAAAACGTTTTGAATGTATTTAAATTAATATTTATACTATCATGTAAATACATGTGAGAATAAAATATTTTCTTTTGTTATTAACAATATTTTAAATCTTCATAATTAAAAAGAATGAATATATATGTTATGCTTGAATTTCACTTGCAAATTGTATAGAATTTTGAAACCGCAGTATTTGTATTTCAAAGTTTGATTAGATTCTGATGTTTCTCGGTCACATACCAGATATAGAAAACATCGTGCAGCGGTTTGTCATATCTGTATCGATATTCGCTATACATTGCGGCGTGCCCACGAGCACTTGGGAATCTAATTAAAAACGCTTTCACCGGGCACGGTTAGGAACAAAAGGAATTTTTTTGAATAGAGATTCTCCACGCTCAACGTAATGACTTGCACAGTCGCAACGAGTCGTAAGAATAGGAAGAGAAAAATCCGAGTCACTCATTACTTCGCATTCGTTTTGCGGTAACTCGCCGCGTAATTTGCCCTAGAAAAAACTGCTTTTAATTCAAGGCTCGTGCAATAAACTTCCAATTTTACAGTCCGCGACAACACAGTGTGTATACGGAATGACAATCGGGAAGTTATTGAACTAAATACTAACTGTTATTTTAAAACGAATGGATAGAATGAAATAGATTAAATTCTGTCTTGCGGAAAAAATCTGTTATTTTTTTAAAGAAATATTATATAACAAGATTATTCATTTGTAAAAATAAATATTATAAAAAGTCGAAAGTTCATTTCTTTTATTATAATTGTCAAAGCTCAATTAATTAAATTAATTAATTTGAATTTAATTATTAAAATTCTAAATTTTATTACTTAATTCAGTTTAAAGCAATTTTTAATTAAAGCGTTATAATATTTTAATTTATCTCAAAAAGCTTAAAATGTTAAAAAAAAAATTATAACTAGTTCTAAAATATTTTTTAAGAAATTTGTAATATTTTACAAGGAGTATATATACTTCATATATGTATAGTGACAATGATATGATTATACCGATATTGTATAAGCAAAGTAAAAGATGTCTACTTTAAAAGACGTCTTTTATATACATGGTATCACAAAAGCCTTATTATGTGCGGTATCAATTTTGACGTAGTTGGCGCACGTACTTGACGTGCTTGAGTCTATTCATACATCAAAATGATGCAAGATTCTAACAGTTTTGCATCTACATATATAAAAAAAAACGTTTCATAATAGTAGAACTGGCGAAGATACAAACATATGTAACATTGGAGATGAGTAATCAATAACAAAGATTATATATAAAAAATGACGTTCTCTAATATTAAATGAATCGATAGAATTACAATTCTAAATATTTCAAGTGACATGAATATCTAGACATGTGAGAGACTTTCGGAATATGTTAAAATTATCGTATGGATTCGCTGAATTGTTCATAATTCGTAATTTTGGCATATCCCAAATAATTGAAGATCGCAAATACACACACCACCTGCATACGAAGAGGAAAGTACTGTCGCTCTTTCTTTTTACTAACTTCGAGTTCAATTATTAACATCCTAGGTGTCGACTCAGGGCTTCGTAACTCATCATCGTGTCTACAACATTTATTTGTTTGCGCGACGTGCCATCCTATTTTCTTCGCGTATCGATCTCTTGTCTCGTTCGTTACCTATACCACGTTTTGTATCTCTTCACATTCGTCGTTTCCATATGCAATATTTCACCGTTCGGAGGACCCAAAATCAATATGTGTTCTTTTGAATATAGATACTTCGAAATCAGTTCGAAACCTACTTCTTTTAGTTGCAATGGTAAGAAAACGGTATAGTATGGTTTAGGAATTAACGAGTTAAGAGAAAAGTAGTTTCTAGCAGAATAGTTTCAGGAAAGATACATAATATTAATTGTGAATAACGCGTTTCTCTTCTAATTTTTTAAACTGTTTACTTGTATTATTTAAAATAGAGTCTTTTAAAAAGATCCATATGTGAACTCTACAAAGTCTATAACGTAAAATTGGTCGAGGCTACGCCAATTTTATTAGTTCGATCTTACTCGACCGTCCGATGAACTTTCGCGACTGTCTAAAATAATGACCCAATACACAAATAGTTTTCGCCGAACAAACTGAAATAAGCTTACAATTAGCTTTAACATGGATGATATTATTGCATAATTGCACGAGATAATATAACTAAATAGAAAGTTGCAACTTTCAGAATTTCGTAAATTGCCCTATGTTAATTTATCAAATAATTTATCTCGATAGATACTAAGTGTCGGATCTTTTAGAGAATATAAAAATTTTTCGATTTAAAATCAAACAGATTTTAAACAGATCCTAATCTTAGAAAATGAATCACACAAAATATTGACTTTAAAAAAAGACGATTCTACTGTGTCAAGTTTTTTTATAGCGAAAAGGTTACTTAAAAGATTGCTTTCGTAAAACTGGACCTTAGGTCACGATAGACCCTAAGACACGCAAGGCACAGTCGTAATTGCTTGCTCTAATTACGAAATTGGGTTGTGGAGCACAAGTATGCGTTCGCATCACGCGCAAATTTCCGCAAGCGGATTCAATTGAAACGACCGTCTAATTTCGTACGATTTAAGGGAATGCATCACGCTGCATTGATTGATTGCACGGCGACAGTGATTAAAGATTGATTTAAAAATGACAAATGAATGATTTAAAATAATCATATTTCCTTGAAATAAACAGCGATTTGACTAGGTAGAAAATTTATTGAAACAGTAGCTGAAAAAAAGCAATCCTTGAATCGTTGATGATATCTTTTATTTATGATTTCGGTTTTACAGCGCCTGCAAGAGCTACAAGTCAGGCTTTATTGGACGAAAATGATATTACGCTTGGAGATGACAGCGATGATGACGTCACGACAGAAGAGCCGTATCTCAAAAAGTGCATCGTAGACGGAAAGTTCTATTCTCACAGCCAAACGGTAACAACTGACAAAATATACTGGCGAGTTTTCTATAGAGAAAGTTTTTTTTTGGTACAGCAAACAATTAAAAAATAAAAAAAACGTTGAAACGTTGATATCTTTGAAATTCTTATAGAAATTAATAAAAAATTAGTTTAAAAAATTTAACGGAGAGTACTAATGATAATAAAGATTTTTTTATTTTAAGCGCAAAATAACAAAAATTTTATAGACAAAAAATGTGCTTGTGCATTTTATACATTTGCAAGTAAAAATTCTCTTCTATTCTCTCCTATTCTCTCCCTTTCTACGTTTCCTTGAATCAATCTTTCGTTAAGTGCTGAGAAAATGCTGAGAAGGATCGTCATTTATCACAGCTTCAAAATCTTTAGCACATCGTATCTCGTAACTAAGTTTCTCAGATTAGAATTCCATTAGAGTAAACTCCATTTAAAATTAACTAATGAATATAGCAGTGTAATTCATTTGGCGCCCTGCAGTTTTGTTCGTGAAAAGGCTTTCATTCACAATTATATAACTTTAATTAATAAAAAATCTGTTATTAAGAAATTATATGAATACAAGAATCATTCTGCATTTATGTCATCTTAACATAATAAGTTGACATAAATTGAATTTTTGCGTTATTTTTTCTTTTGTATTTTTTTTCACTCTCGCTAAACGCACCCCATCGTCCGCCAGATACCGTCGTATGACGCGAATTCGCATTGCATGTGCGTCGTCGGCGAAGTTTACTGTTGGTGGCAAAATTATAATTTGAACGCCGCCGCCTCGTCGCTCGGCTCGTCTTCTCTGCGATCGACCGCGGTGGAAAGCAATTACACTTCATCCCTGGGAATGAGTACGGACGTTGTGGATGGCTTCGAGGCTTCCGGAAATTTTGACCCGTCGGTCGGCCAACAAGGACACATAGAAATTAACACCACTCTGTCAACCACAACGCCTTCTGCACCGACCATTTGCCTCGTTATGGGTATTAATTAATTTTTCCTTCCTAATAGTTTCCTTAGCTCTCTTAATATTTTATGACGTAATATTGATATTACATTTTATTTTATAGATTTCTAGTCTTTTTATATCGATCAATATTCCTTGTCACAAATATAATTTAATTATATACATATTTAAAAATTATTAATAGAAAATATATATTATATATTTATTCAATTTTGTTCTAATTTTAATACATTTCTAGAGGCATTTTCATATTATTTGTTTTTCCAAAAAGTTTTTTTTATTATAGCATAATTGTTACAAATCTTTGAAGATTTATTTGAAATTTTTTTCGTACCTTATATCGTCTTACTGTGCAATTTTAATATTCATCGTATCTCGACGCAAGATAAAAGCGTGAGCTTTTATATACTTCAAAAGCCTATATTTTCTTTTATGTATTGTAAAAGCCGCGCTTTCGTACGTACATACATACGCGGTTCCGGCCTTTTTATACGAAATTCGTATGTACCATGGGACTTGAATTATAGGAAGGGAGTATCGACAGGGTGAGATACTACCACACTCAACCGGGAACTGCGTTGAATGCAGCTGCGGCTCCGAAGGCCGCATCGAATGCTCGCCGAGAGACTGTGTGGCACTGCGACCCGAGATATTAGTCGCACCTGATAAACCCGAGGTACCCGACGGCGATTTCGAAGTTTTCAACTTAGCGCGGGATTGGGATATTGACGAAAATTTCTAAAGTATCTGATAACGAGTCGTGCAAACTTGCTCGGTTCTGACTGCTGCGATATTATATTCATGTTGTCAAAAAGCCATTTCACGTTTAATCGTTTAATTAAACGCGACTTCAAAGAAGAACAGGCACCTGTAAAGGAAAACAGATCCTTGAGAGTAGATTGATTCTAAAATAATATAACGGCGAAAATTGGATTATCGGGGTGAATGAAAAAAAAAGAAAAAATCTGGCGTTTATAATTTATTGGTCAGCGCAAATAATTGAATTTATATATCAAACTCTTCTTTATATATTTTTTTATTTATTTTAAATATAATCTCATGCTTTTTAAATAATAAAATAATTTGATTGAGATTATAGAATTATAGGATTTGCGCTTGACGATTTTCGACATTAAAAAATAATTGCGTCTTCTTTTATTATAAGTGAGAATCATTTTCTTTCGATCGAGGATGTGCCTTCAATTATTTGTCATATACGTCATGGATGAAATCAAAACGGCGTAGAAGGCATAGTCCTAAAATATATCTAGTCTAGATTTCTTTTATAAAACCTTCAACGAGTGAGAAAAAAGAGCGATATTCGATTAAATATTTTTTACGTAGGTGGCCTCATTAACATTTTTTTAGAGATTTTAGTAGATTAAATATTCTTCGCGTAGAAATCTTTTGATAAGTTAATACCCGTCTATTTTCAAAAAGTAAAAAATAGAACTTATTATTTTCCATTTAAATACTACGCGAAATGCCTTCATTTTAATTTATTTGATTTGGATTTAATTTGTAGGTACGTCTCGTAGTTAGGAATTTATTCAGTAAATAGAACATTCGTATCTGTATAGATTCGATATAAGAATGTTTTTGTAGACGACGGCCTATAATCCATAAATTAATCATAACACATGTACGTCAGCCCGCCTTATGTACGTGTGAGAAACGATATTATGTATTGAGAATGAGCTTAGTCATTACTCTAGTCGATCACAATAATATGACATAAAAGATTTAACAATACTCTTCGTCATACCTCATATCCTAATAGGTGCATAATCAAATATTGTAGTAAAGATTGTATAATTTACATCACATATACATTTATATAGTATATGTGAAATGAAATATATATACCGCCATATATATAATCTTACATACATATTTACAATAGAACAATGCCAATAGCGAATAACAAAGAGAAACTCCTTGTTGCAATAGTTTACATAATACATATAAGAGATTGAACGGTAACAAAAACATATAGTCGAGTGAAAAAATCACGCCAATAAGAAAGAGAACATTTAACAAGACCCCTGATATTTAACATATCCCGCAATATATGCACAATATATATTATATATAATATATATCTTTGTATCATGTATAAGTATCATATATACATATATGCAGTGTGTTTGGTTTATAAGTATACATGTTTAGTTACTTGTATAAATAATAGAGTTATAAGAAAATTTGTCGAAAAATTATTTTGTTTAAGAAGTTCTACATAGTGATTTAAACAAAAATTTTTAATAATTTTTTTAATAAACATTTTTATTGGACATATTGTTTTTTTCTGTTTTGCTCATATCTAAAAACAACACAAGTGATAATATATTAATGTCTCATGAGTGCACTGTCGAACTTCACATTTTATCGCACATTGTTATATTCTCTCTTATAAAATATCTTATATGAAACAAAATAGATATTATTCTATTTAAAAAACTAAAACTGCCATTAATTTAAAATAATTTACAATTCTTCCGTTTAAGGATCTTCTTAAACAAAATACTCCTTAATAGAAACATTTATAATTCTATTATTTAAAAAAAAAACTGACAATGAGTGTATACACTTAAATCAAACATACTGTATATAAATATGTATTATATTTACTATTATATCATTATATATTACTTTACATATACAGAGTAATATATAATATTTTAATTATATTAACGTATCATACCAAAAAATTAAATATTAAGAAAGAAATAATATCGCATATATAATACCCGTACGACGATAATGTGCAATTAACAATAAGATTGCAGTCAGATTTCCATATTTTTAGCATGTCAGGACCAAATAACTTCTCTCCCTCTTCTTAATTCTCGCCCTCAATTCCTACTCTTATTCCACTGACATATGCATAGAATGAAAATATCGCTCGTTTCGATCATGCGCGTAACGACATTTTTATTCTAGGCATGTCCTTTACAGAAATTTAATACTCGAAGGAAGTGATTAATTACATATTTTAAATATTAAAAGCACTGAACAACAGTACTTTTAATACTCAAATTAAGTAATTTCCAGTATTAAATTGGATTTCTGTAAAGAGTACGGTTAAGCGGCTAATGTGAAATAACGAGGGGAAGCAGCGCGAGACAAAATGTTAAAAATATACGAAAGCTAAAAGAATTAAAGTTACGGAAGCGTTAAGAGATAATAAGAAAATACGGAGATTCGACTGTATTCAGTGGAACTGCATAAAACTTATATATAGGTAAACCGCGATGTTTACTTTTGTAAACGCAGTTTTTATGTTTAGTTTTGTGAATACTCCCTAGCTAGTTTCGAAAATTGTATACCTCGTACGACTCGTGGATGTGCAAAAAGACGGTCGTATCGTCTGAGTATCGTTTCTTTTTTGCTTAGACGATAGCGACGTAGTAGTTTACAAATGACTTTGTTAAACATATACGAAGAATGTTTCTTGAATGTTTTTTATCGTGTCGCGCAAAAATTATTTTTCACCGAGTCATATCGATAACAATTTTGAATATTCCTTTTCACAACTGAGGACCCATGTGAAAGTGATGATAGGACTGTATAATTATATACTGCATTTGCGACGACAAGAAATCGATTGTTTATAGATAATTATGTAGATAAGTATAATCTCCAGTGTGACATATACATCACGAAGGTAATTTTGTCTAACAAGTTTACAAGTTTAGATCGGAGAGTTTGTTCTTTCATGAGGACTCTGATGAAATGTCTGATTACTGCTATTGATTTTAATAGTTAGAACGTAGTTGTAATATGAAAGATAAATTTATTTGACTTTGAGTCTAACGGATATTGAAGTGAAAATTTGACTTTGCATTCTCTGGTCTTTTTTAATTTTTAATTGGCGATCTTACGGAAAGTAAGAAAACAAGTTAAATGAATAGAAAAATGATTTCTCTCATCGGAAATTAAAGAATTCTACATTCCTCGCAGAATTATTCTCTGGAATCAATTAAAGCTTCTTGAATATCTATTAAATATTAATTTCTAAATTCAATTTTTTGCACCTTTTTAAATATTCTTCATTATTTCTTCTGCGAGCAAAAATTAACAGCTGTAAAATTACTTTAAACTACTTTTTTTATTTGTTTATCTTTTCCGTATTGGAAATGGTACATAATTTTATCTCTGTTTATTTCTTCTATATTATATCATATTTAATATTTAACAACAATATGTTCTTTAATAATAATATCTATAAGTTTAGTAATCGATAACGTTGCATTGTCACGAAGAGAATCGCAAATAGAAAATCACGGAAATGATATTTTTGAAAATTCCTCTATACAAGGGTTAGTTATAGTTGAAAATTAGTTATTGAAAAATTAGTTAGAGAATATCTTCCAATTACTGACAATCCTCATTCGTCGAATCATAGTATAAAATCTCGACTTAAATTCTGTCAATACATATAAAATCTAAAACAACATTTTAATTTAAATATAAACATATCCTTAGAAATTTCAGAAAACAGCCTTAATATACATATAAGTTACTCGAAATAATCATTTTTGTTTTTATAACGAAAAGTAGATTTCTTGGCTAATCATTCATTATATTCGCTGCACGTATAATTTTTAATGGAATTTCGACTATTTCTTGAACTTGCTTTTACGCTCTAGGAATTCTAAATTTGTCTCTTACAGACTTTTGCTTCTATTTGCATATCTCACAGATCTTTGCGATCTAAGGAATTTAAATCAGAACTGCCGGAAGAACAATCTTTAATAAAAACCATCTCGCTCGTACATTTGCAACACTTTCCATCGCCCTTATCAACTGTACGTTTAAAAGTTTATTGACAGAATTTATGAAATTGTGTATGGTATCCTTCTCATGTACGGAAATCTGTAAATCTTTTAGAAAATTTTTCGTAAGGCGAAAGTGGCACATCATCGCGGGACCATATTAATGAATATAAGTAGATCATCCATTAATGCTTTCGTTCATACTTGAATAACGATCTCGTACGTCTTCCAGTTATCTTACATGGAATTGTATCAATATCGTGTTCCTGCGATTATACACAATGTCTTCACAAAAAAAAATGTATTCCAAATAAAGAAAGATCTCATGACACAAATGTGTGGATATTTATATTTTACCATCTTTATATATAATATATATTCCTGTATCTTCTTCATATATTTTGTCTCATAATATTATATATTATTAGATGTTTTAAATACATCCCAGAAAGCACAGAGTAGAGTGTAAAAAAAACTGCAGTTATGTCACCAATTCTGAGTTCATTTTCAGATGTAAAAAGAATTCTTTTTCTAAAAAGGATTCTTTTTGCATTTGAAAATGAACTCAGAATTGATGACATAAAACTGAATATACTAATGAATTCTTTTGAACTCTGTGTGCTATCTGGAATGTATGTAAAAAAGATTACCGTGATATAAGAAAGCCTTTTTAAAATATTTTAGAACTCTAAAATATTAAAATCACGCACATAACGTATTTTATTTAGAACGTTGAAATATTTCGAGACGAGCAACAAATGGTTGGTACGCGGTTTTTACTTATTTGCCTATACTGACATGAGTAATTTGTTCAGATTCGTGGAAGTGCTCCTCAATCGAAGAAGCGCATATATGAGATAAAAAATTGTTATATATGTTTATTTTATTATTTTTATAACAAAAAATAAGTAAAAAAAGTGCAAATTAAAACCCAGCAAACACCAATTAACAGTAACATAACATATATATTAAGCTGGTGTTTGCGGAAAAGAAAAAAAGATCAATTTTTGAAGTCGAAAGTGGTGGAGGACCTTACAAATTGATCTGTTTTTATTGATCATAACAATTCAAGTATGTATATTCTATAATGAGCATATTTCGTTCTTTAACTTTTCATTTCTCAAATTCATTTCAAAGTATTCTGAAAAACGTGGATATAGCGAATGTTACCCATTGGAAATATTCGTGGATATGGCTTCGTAGTTCATTGTTGAAGCGCTAGTAGTGAACAGGTTTTATTTAAAACACGTCCATTCTCAGAGGTTCTGCACAATCAAAGAAATATGGAATAAAAAACAGAACAGAAATTAAGAATAACAAATAAGGAATAAGGATATATTAATATATATTGTAGAAATTAAGAATTTTAACCTATCAGAAACGGTGTACTATATATATAGAATATACAGTTTTTGATAGATTGAATTCCTATAATTCTCCGTTCCCTGTTCCTTGTTCCTATATGAGACTTTTTTCTCCATGGTATAAAATCCATGATATAAGTCATATAAGAATATATAATGTATCATTGGTCATAATAATGACAGAATGATATAACATTTAATCTTAAGGAACAATCAATCATATTTTTGCTCCAAAACAGAAGTGTTGCTTCTTACAATTTAGGACACATTGTTTATTATTGGCTCAAAGAGTATAGTCAATATATGTTAAATGATTGCGCATCCTCGGGTATAATATATTTTAAAATAATAAATTTTATATGTATAGATTAATTGTGTTAATTGATATTTGTTGTAAATATTTAACATAGATTAATATTCCGATTAATATATAAAATAATTCCAATAAAAAAATGACAGTCTGTTAAGATTTTTCTTTCAATCTGAATTGATAATAAAAGTATTATACTTTAATCTGAAATATTTATATTTACAAATAGTCTTATCGATTACTGGATAATTGAAACTGTATTTACACAAATCGTGCTACTGCTACAAGAATTATTCAAGTTGCGTTCGGAAATTATCTCTCGAATGTCACTGTTTCATTTTTCTTGTTCACTGAATATTGAACATTTGAATAAGGATAAAGTGACATACGGAGGCACTCGGGGTAGTCAGGTGACGTTTCCGAACTGTTCCGAACACAGCCTCGGAGCTACTTTGGTGGCTACTGGCTTGCGTGGCTTGGTGTATGATGAGATGTTTTGGTGTATCTTATAGGTTAAGTTATATTATTTTTTTTTCAATTTTTTGTTAGACTTCTCTTATATATTTTAAATATCTAACAATAATCTATATAAGATCCTCAACAAGTTATTGATATCATGACCCTGAATACTGGATCAAAAATCCATATTATAAAAGCATTAAATAATAAAAGCATGACAATCTACCAGAAACATTTTGCAAAATGTTTGCTATAAACTTTTTCAGTAGAAAGTCAGCAGAAATATAACAGAATCTGTTAATAGAATACGATTGACTGCAGAAATCGAACAGAATTTTATATGACATTTTATATAATGACATATTTCATTTAAATAATTATGAAGTGACAGATTCTGTTTGGTTTACTGGCTATTTATCAAATTAGGTCGTTTAGCCAATGCAAAACACAAGCCTAATATATAGCAAAATATTTTAGCAGTTAAAAACTGCTGCAATATGTTGCTCGAATTTACTGTTAAATTGTTAGCATACAGCTAACGTTTCTCGTTTACTGGGTCAACACATATTTCTACTTGCCTGTCATTCATCTTTCATGATAACTGCCGGCAGATAATGGTATCGAAAGATTAGATAATTGACCCAGTGTATTTCACCACAGAGTAGTATTGCTATCAAAACCATGAACTATTTTTTTCTAGAATAAATTATCACGCCATGTGTACTTTCCGGTGATAGCTACAGGAAGGATCGTTACGTCAGTTTACTATATCAGAAAACTGAAATGCAACCATGGAATTAATACAGCAATAGCACATCAGAAACCACTGAGATGGCAGGCAACGTTGAGACAAGGGAATTACTGCCTTTCAATACACTGGCAGAATTATACAGCACCCTGGACAGTGGATTAGTAGAATTGCCATTAGATATATCACAGGTATACATCACAGAATCAGTGGATTATGTGTACCGTGGTTCGGATATTGTCGCGCAGAAGGTCCCACTGGAAAGGGTGGACAGAGCCGAACAGCCCAGAACACTAGTCTGTCACGATATGAAAGGTGGTTATCTCGAAGACAGGTAATTTTACAAAATATCTAAACTAAAGTGAACACATGCGTGAATTGTAATAATGCCTTTGTTTTGTCTCCACAGATTCATACAGGGTTCTACCTCTCACGATTCCTATGTATTTTATCACTGGAGTATCGTCGATACATTTGTTTACTTTAGTCACCACTTTGTGACTATCCCACCTTACGGCTGGATCACCGCGGCTCATCAACACGGCGTGAAGGTTTTGGGTACGGTGATCACGGAAGGAAGTAACGACACCTGGGACACGATTCTTGCGTCGCAAAAGGATGTGAGAAAGTTTGCGGACGCTCTAGTATTGATTGCAAAAAGCTACCAATTTGAGGGGTGGCTTTTGAACATTGAGAATAAAATTAGGGAAGAGGATATGGATAATTTGATTTACTTCGTTAAGTACCTGACAGAAAGTATTCACAACGAGATTGAAGATTCGGAAATTATCTGGTACGACAGTGTGACCAATAAGGGTGAATTAAATTGGCAGAACGAACTCAATGATAAAAACAAGTAATATTCTTTAATTTATTTAATTATACGTCTTTCTCTGTTTCTTTGTTCCTATTTCAATTATATCAACACGATTTAATAACAATTATTTCCGTTTCAGAGAATTTTTCTTGTACTGTGATGGTATATTCTTAAATTATACTTGGACGGAATCACGACTGAGCAGCAGTCATTTATTTGCAAAGGAATTAGGTCGCGATATTAAGGATATTTACGTTGGATTAGACGTTTGGGGGAGAGGGTGTCCAGGCGGAGGCGGCTTTAACTCAACATATGTAAATACTATCACTTCTATTATATGTTACAAATGTAACATTATCTTTTTCATTGCGGTAAACCAAGTTCTCAGATAATAAAAGCACATTTTATTTTTTAAGGCACTAAATTTGATACGGGAACAAGGACTTTCAGTTGCTATTTTCGCTCCTGGATGGACACACGAGTACTTCGGTTCAAGCACTTTTTCAATTCTAGAAAATTTATTCTGGGCTCAATTGTTTCCTTATTTATATGTGCACGTACCTATTTTCGAGAATGACATTTTCAAAACTTCCTTCTGTCGAGGTGCTGGTATCTGCTATTATTATAATGGCGAGGTAAATATAAACAATAAATAAGATAATTTATTTAATTAATAAAACTTATTAAAATTTTTTACTAAAATCTCTTTATGGTAGTTAAAATTAATATACGCATGCATATGCATTTATAAGTCTGTTTGCGTTTAGGAACATTTTGAACCATACACAATAAACGGTGAAAGCACGCCCGAAAAGAGAGCATTTTACAATTTACGAAGGCAGCAACTGCAGTTAGCGATACCTGTGCCACATTTACAATTTACGCGATCGACACAGCGAATATTTACCGAAGATATTGAGGAGAATGAAAATAATGATAGTGACGATGCTAACAAGAAAGAAACTCGAATAGAACGTATCTACGAAAATGAAAGGAGCATTATACGAGTATGTGGTAAAATCGTTAAGATTGAAGACAAATTACCTGCTGTCGATGTCAATACTTTCGAGTTTTGCGATCAATTCTCCTATAACGGCGGTGGATGTTTGAAGCTAATCACTAGAGATCATAGATTATACCACAGGTGAGAATATGTCCATTGAAGAATAATATAATTTGTAAAAAAATATAGGTAGTGTTAAAATATAATTATTATTCAATGACTAATTATATAACATTATAATATATATATTGTTACAGATTATTCTTGGTTCACATCGATTTGAAGCAAGATATCCAGGCGACCGTTGTTTATGCAGAACCCGAGGTCACTGCCTGGTCGAACAAGTTTAACAAAAGTCCCATTTTAATCTTGGGTAACAACGGTAATTTAAAATCGATCCTACCTTACGACTCCGCCAGAATAAACGCCAAATGGAGAAAATGGTAAGCTTAAAACGAATCACGACGATTGACGATTGATTATCGATTTTACAATTGACTGTGCTTTTTTCTACAGCATTTATCTGACGAACTTAAGAACCGTGGATGAGATCGGCGTGTCTTTCCTGACGGAGTACGATTGTTACCTGGGCGAGATCGTTTTGGAGCAGAGGAATCGTTTCGGTAAGTACGAAAGTTTCGCGACCGACATTTACAGCCGCATTAAGATTCTGCGCGAGAGCGAGACAGTTTGCGCATAACAAACTGATTACGTCATGATAAAAGCATATCACGCAGTCCTTGATTGCGTATAGAACCGCTCCTTAGCGATTACACCTTATAGACATACCCTTCCTCCTCCTACTCGTTTCTCTCCCGATTGAGAACCGCTTGGGTGAAAGGCACGTATAAACTGTCCCAGGATAGACCAATCGTTCGATTTTATAGGCACCCGCCGACCACTCGGTATTCTAACCGAGGGATCAGGTGCAAAGTTACACTGCGACGGAAACATTCCTCGATAATGTCGTTAAAGAAAAAACGAAATTGCTCGCCCGTGGCAGGCTCGATTAGCATTTATCGGTGGTATTTCAATGGCGAAGCCAACGTCTTTGACATCTTAAGTAATTCGTTGTCCGTGTCCCATTAAATGGGGACTTCTATTACAAGGATATCGGCATTCTTTGATAGCGAAGTGCATAGCGTTATAGTGGCACAGCGGATGCAAATTCCGTTACAACGCGGACTTAAAGACGCGACCGATTTGCCACACCGGATATTACAAATCGTAGACACTTTTGCGCGTTCACACATTGAAAATGAATAGCATTTGTGTCCAAAGGTGGTTATGCGACCACGCGTTATTTGTTATTCACACGTCGATGTATTATATTGTAATCAATGTGCCACCTACTGCCGAGAAGATGAGACGTACATACATTTAATTGCATTGAGATTCTCCGCTGCCAAGTCGCCGACGCTTTCTAACTTTGCTCAATCAACGATGTGTATGCGCACACAATTTGCTTGCGAATTTCTTAAATCTATCGTGGCATTTTGAATGGAGATTTTCTCTTGCTTAAAAAATTAAAAAAGAAAGATATTGTCTGCATATATACAATGCGACGCGTATATTTTGTATATTTTGCGTTTTTTAATTGCGTTAGAATTCTCTTTTACACGCGATTTACTATTTTCGTGCCACGGTAATTTAGTTTTCTCTGTAAAATATTTTTGCATACAATGTGTATTTTTATATTTTTAAAAATATTTCTAAAATATATTTTAAATACATTAAAAATGTTTATATTTTTTAAATATATAATTTTAATATTTCTATATTTAAATATATTTTTTTATTCTAAAATACATACATTTTAAAATATACACTCGTATATTTTAAAATATGTGTGCGTGTATTTTGTTCTCGGTATGTTGAATATCTTGTCGCTTTTTCCTCTCTTTCTCTTGCTCTCTTTGTTCATAGGCGCAAAGTACGCACGCACGTGTACGCCATCGAGAAAGGGAGAAAAGTGTTTGCTTATCACGCACCGTTTCAAATGTTTGGAGAACTATGCGGAAAACTACCGTAAAAAAAGAAATATTATATCGAGATTTGAAACTTGAAAGAGTAATATATTTGGTTTTCTTCATAATTTCACTTATTTTTTATGCCATAAAATTATATTTACCTTCTAATTATTATTTTTGTGGGAGTTTACGTGTTAGACAAAAGAAAAAGATATCTCTTAGACAGAGAAAGATTGTTAAAGAGAGAAATATACATACATATATACTTGACACATTAACAATTTATGTTGTATAATAATTCATAATTTATTTATTTTATTTTTTATAGAGGAAAATTATCTCACGCTACGCAAATTCAACAATTAATAATTTAAGGTTTAAAAACGAAAATACTAAAAAAGAACTTTTTGACGAATAATTTTAAGATTAACAGCGTTATCTTGGAGTTATCTAATATCTACTAAAAGAAACAGGAAGAAGAGGTGCGTGTGAAGAAACGTCTGTAATTTTCTTTCGGTGCGGTGAGGTCTATTTCTAACGTGAACTGAGAGTCTCTTCCTGGATCAATAATTTATAAATGAATTATTTACAAGAGGTGAAGTGACCGTAACGTTTCCACCAATTATTCGGCACGTATCGTTCGCCGTTTCAATGGAAAAAAAAAAAGATATTATTCATGGTATATTGCGTTGCGCGCACGTTATTTCTACCGGTACCGGCTTTAATCGCTGATACTTCTTCCTCGGGGTCTCGCTTAATGGCGCATTCTTAAACGCTCCAGGCTATTTAACGAATTGCGTAAAGAAAATTTATTCATGCCTTTTAATTTATCACTCACAGTCACACTGACAAATCCGTCGTTTCCAGGTAGATGTACTGTTAATTTAACAATTTTTTTCATTTAAAAACCATTATGATTAGTCGAGATGTTGAGAATCCCTATACATATAAATATAAATATATTCCATTATATCTATTTTTTTTAATTTAAAAATTATTTATTAAATTATAAGGAAGAAATTGCCCATCATCAACACATCATATTTACCTTAAAAAAATATATATAAGTTTTCTCTTAGAATTATATATTTCTTCTATCTTCAATTCTATACGTGCATACACCATCTACCTTCTGAATTATATTTGTTTATACAAGTTTTAAAGCATTCGGCTGATAATAATTTATCTTTTATTATTCGTATATGAGATTGCTGTTAAAACTGAACGATTCGTTGCAGCATGGATAGATCGTGATTTTCTCAAACGACTCAACTGTTTTCTCATACAGTGCTCATGAAAAAGGTCAAATTATTTCATTCTTTAGGAATGCTCGGTTGCAAACAATCCCTCGCTGCCGCGTCTAATGATTATTATTACTTTTTTAGATTTCTCTATGGCTTTTTTTAGAATTTTTTTACTAAATTATATGAAGTTAATTTGCAAAAGGGAAATGAGAAATCAAATGGATGGACAAAATTATATTAGCTTTCGCGTATTATCGCGAAGATTACGAGGCATTTGTTTCTAAGAAAGGCACTATTACAATTTTTTGTACTTATTTTGCATTATTATCCCGGAGGCGGAGAAAACTATTATATCTTGTGTCTACTTTATATCGTATGTGCTTATACTCATATTTAAAAAATACAAAAAAATTTAAGCATCTAAATAGAAAAATACAAATGAGAATAAATTAAGAGAATAAATTAAGTGAATGTGTTATACAATATATAATAATATTATCTATAATATTAATAATATTATTAATTGTACCTAAAATGTATATTAAATTACCAGATATAGACATATAAAATAGCAGAACTGAAAAACACAGAGTAAAGGTAACAGACGCGGACGATTAACTCTAATTTATTTAAAAATTACGTGATAATTTTATGGCTGACTACGGATAATTTTGTATTTGGGAAATTGAGAGAAGCGAGGCCTATTTTAGAGAGGAGATAGTGATTCACGGTCAGTTACCGATAAAACGAGCTTACATTGTAGAGCAAATGGGCTTCCACGAGTACATGCAGGATGACCGCAGCTCGTCGTGACAAAATTGAATTGTCGATCAGCTTAAGCTGAATGTCGGAAACTTTCTCCCGTGGCATGTACGTGGCTCCTCGCATGCGCATATTGTATGTAAAATGTGCAAGTAGGCAAGGTGCGCGCGAGAAATTGATTTTACAGTGATATTTGTCGTACTTTCTATAAGGAGCTCATACCGAGTGTCCTTTATTAAACGCACTCGAATAAAAAATATCGCAGCGGTGTTCACCGGATTTTTGCATCGCGTTGTAACCGCGTTTCTGTCTAATTAAGACAGAAAGGCGTCCAAGAGGAAAGAAAAAATTTCTCACGGAGCACTATCAGTCAGATAATCGACCGATTGCGAATAATCTGTTTTGACAACTTGTGAGAAAAATTCTCTTGATCAATATAGTAACGTCTCTTTCCCCTATTTCCCACGTAATTACGCAGGGAATTGTTGTTCGGGAAAGAAGAAGATTAAGTCTTAACCGTTTTATACTCACTGTTACTTTCTATAATATATGATTACCGTGAAAATGACGCACTTATTATAGTGATAGTAAAAGCAAGCGTGATTTATGTATCAATATTATTAAAATGAGTTATGGTAATCTCGCCGACAGAGATAATTCGATCCAAATGATTTTGACCCCGATTTCGTTCATTTTTATCCATACAATTAAATAATTCTTAATTAATCTTGCAACTTTTTAATTTTTAATTTTTCTTTTGTTTAAGTTATTCTAGTCAGATTATTTTTTTTTTTATTTTATACTTTAATTAATCGATATTTTTGGAGAGAATCTACGTGTATATTTCTATGCACAAAATGATATACGACGCGATAAAAAAAAGTTATTTGATGCTTAATATAGAAAAAAAAGAAAATTGGTTATGGTTTAATAACATTAATTTGAGGAAAAGAATAATTATTTATTTTGCAGTTTTTATCATACGCGATGCAATCTTGATTTTATAAAAATATCGCAATATTCACGCTCTAATTTTAAAAAGTTTAAGTTCAACTGAGGATTTATTACTCTTTTTTTTTAGTTGAGAAAAATTATTTTCTAAACTGCGTTAATACGTCGCTTTTGCTATTAGTCCCGTAAAAGAAATTGTCGATGTAGCGGCGCGGAACTTTCGCTACATTGATTGCGTTTGCAATTTTACGTATGCGTCTAGAAGCGCCTTCTCAGACAAATGGATCGTTCCGAAGACAATTTGCGGAGAAAGACCCAGACAGCGGCAACGGCAATTCCAGGGCTCGGCTTCTTTTCTTTCGCGTTTCTCCGATGGATGCCGTTTTAGAAAGGCGGCGGAGAAACCTCTAGAAGCGCGTACCGAGAATTCATCTCAGTGGCGTACCGTGTTATCGAGTTTACACGCTTATTTTAACGTATATCGAATGCCAGTGAGAAGAAGATTGTACATAACCAATAGAAAGTCAATTTGGTCTTTTAAGAATATTGTAGCATATCGATATTTATTAAGATTTGAACTATTTGAACTACCGTAATTGTTTCTGGCGCGCGCGTATGCATTTTGATATTTTAATATTTAATATTTTAAGTATAATCAAATGTTCTATAGAATATAACATTTGTTAAAAAAGTGAG